AGTCACTAAACAGCTAATACAAACATCCCAGCAAGCTGTTTGGAAAAGAGCTTGGTACTCTTGTGTCATCAATAGTCCTGACTGAACCTACGAAGTCTGAAGACCTTTGAATGATTTTTTATAATATTTTATGGTGCTTGAAATAGCGGTATTTTGGCAACATTCTTCACGTACGTGCTAATTCTTCCTTAAGACAAAGCCGATGAATAGCTTGTTAGTAAAGACGATGAGTACTCCGTTGCAGCCTCATTGGAGATCCATCCATCTTCCCCTTTAGTCTTTCCTTTCGCTGGCTACAGTACAGATGATATCATCCTCGTCAGTGCATTTAGTTTATTTTATGTTTGGGGCTTGTTTTTGACTGTTTTCTTTTTCACGTTCTGTCTGTCTCGTTTCACTACAATATATGAAGATTTTTACCCGCGATTTTTTGGCGTTTGCCCTGTGGTTAAGAGCACGGCTATAATTCTAACATCAAACCAAATACTAGCTAGCTGATTGTAAAAGAATTGGAAAGTTGGATTTAGGTTGTGACACAAAAGCAAGTTTTTAAAGATTGAAGAAAAAATGGAGAGCTCTCGGGTTACGGCAAGGAGCGCGGCAGCCAGGAAAGACAGCGGTTACAGACAGCGACAAGGGTACAGGAACAAGGTAGCAGAGTACAGTTCACAGGTTGCTGGATGGTCTTCGAACTTCTTCTTTTACAACTTTCCAGAGGAATTAGAGGCAAAATTTCTATGGAACAGCTTTCAGATGTATGGTAAGGTCGTTGATGTGTATATTCCGAGGAATCGTGATAAGAGAGGGAAGAGGTACGGTTTTGTGCGACTAACAAGGGTAAAAAATGAGATTCAAATGGAGAGGAGGCTGAATGAGATTTGGATAGGCTCGTATAAGATGAGAGTGAAGCTAGCAAACGACAGACAAAGGAAACCTTCACCGTATAGGAAGGTTCACGGTAAGCCTAAAGTCAGTAGATCAACAAACATCATGAATAGGCTGGTTATACCAGGACAGACATATGCTCAGGCAGTGAAGGGCCAAGGAAGGAGAGAGGATAAGGTTCCAGATCAAGCTCAGGAAAAGGAAAAAAACGAAATCCCGAAAACGGAAGATGTCAAAACAAGAGCTCAGGGGAATATGGAAGCAGAAATAACAGAGAAGATTGCTGAAGCAGAAAAAACAGAGAAGATTGTCGAATACACCCCATCGGGTGATGAGCTGAAATGGCTTGAGGGTGGCATGGTGGCAGTGGCGAGGTCAATGGCGTTGATACCTGAGATTCAAGAGCAAATGGATGCAGATGGAGGCTTAATCTCGTTATCACCAATTGGGGGAAGACGGGTTCTTTTAACTGAGAAAGTTACAGGGATCATAGCCAATTATATGAAGCAAAATGAGGAGTTATTTAGCATGTGGTTTGAGTCTATAACTCCATGGGAGAAGGCACCAGAGGAGGAAAGCCGTTTGAAGTGGGTGCGCATATCGGGTGTGCCACTAAAAGCATGGGGAGAGAGGTGTTTTTCAGATGATTGGTGAGACAATCGAAGAAGTCCTGTTGGTGCACGAGGACACAAAGAAGAAAGCAATATTATGGGATGGAAGAGTTCTGATCCTTTGCTCGGAGTCCAGTAAAATCTCTAATCAAGTTAAGCTGAAGGTGGGTGAGCAGGTGTATGAAATAGAGATAACTGAAGAGGAATGGCGCTCTGATCCGGATTGGTGGTTAACGGAGAATGGCCGGAGAAGTGACCTGGAAACGGAGTCTGATTTCTCAAACTCGTGGTGTCAGAACGAGGATCCGGAAATGGATATGGATGAGATGGGTGTCGGCGAGGATGTAGGAAACGATTCAGAACATTTAATGAAGGATTTGATCTCAAATTCAAATTTGAAGTTAGTAACGGAAACAGAGAGTTGTTTCCAAATAGTGCAAGAGACAGATTTGGAAGGAGAAGTAAACGATGGGCTGTTAAAGGAGATTGGGCCTCAAAGAGTGAGTTATGATGGGCCAATAGAAGACAGCGGGCCAACCAACCGGGTGGGCTGGGGACAAACAAAGGAAATGAACTTGGAGGAACCCGTTTTAGATGCTCAAATAGAGTTGGACCCATCAGAAACGCAGAAATCGGCAAACACAACAAAGGGGAGCAAAAAACAGAGGATGCTTCAAGATTGCTACCCAGAGAGCATGGAGGGGATCTGGGCAAAAGGAGCACCGGGGGTAACTCCCAGAACAAAACAGCGTCTGGAACGGAGAGGAGATCTGGGCAAAAGGAGCACCGGGGATGACAAGGTACATGATGCTATGGCTGTTTCTATTTCAGATGGATGTATTGAAAATAGAAATAGGGTGTTGCAGAGAGAGATGAATATGCATGAAGTGCGTCGGATGATGGGGGTGGGGAAGAGATTGGGTCTTAATTTCGAAAATAATGAGGAGGAGATACAATCAAAGTTGCTTGAGGCAGTAGATCGAGAAGGGGCAGAGAGGAGGGTCTCGAAAGGGAGGTAGAGCCGGTAGTGATGAATGGGGGTTTGTGTGTTTAGAATTAATTGATGAAATTTGTGTCATTTAATGTAAGGGGCTTGGGTGGGACACTGAAAAAGAAGGAAGTGAGAAGGCTGGTTCAAGAAGAGAAGCCTGATTTTCTATTCCTACAGGAAACAAAGTTAGAAAAAGTGGATATAGGAATCTGTAGACAGCTGTGGAATTCAGATGAGGTTGATTGGATTGCGAAGGGCTCTTCCGGAGCCTCAGGTGGTTTACTTTGTTTGTGGGATAGTCGGCAATTTGTTAAGAGGGAGGTTTTTTCTGGTGATGGGTTTGTGGGTTTGGCAGGGGAATGGGGAGCAAATAAAAGGCAATATTTTTTAATTAACGTCTATGGCCCAAATGATAGACAGAAGAAGGCTAGGTTGTGGGAGGAATTGAGAAAAATGGTGACAGAAAAGGAAGGGTGTTGGTTGATAGCAGGAGACTTTAATGCAGTCAGAGGGCCTGAGGAGAGACGAGGTAGAACAGGAGAGAGCCCAGACATGAAGGAATTCGATGAGTTTATTGCGACGACTGATTTGGTGGATGTTAAACTGTCAAATAGAAATTATACATGGTACAAGCCAGATGGCTCAGCAAGGAGTAGATTGGACAGATTCCTATTGAGTACGGAAATGAGTAATACGGAAGGAGAGTGGATACAACAAGGATTGCCAAGGAACATCTCTGATCACTGTGCTATTGTGTTGAAGTCCAGAACAACAGATTGGGGACCAAAACCCTTTCGGGTTTTGGATGCATGGCAACAACATCCCGATTTTAAGAAGTTTGTTGAAGATAAATGGAGTGAGATGGCGGTGGAGGGGTTTGCAGGGTATAAGTGCCAGCAAAAGCTGAAACTGCTAAAAGGTTTTTTAAAGAGCTGGAACAAGGAAGTCTTTGGGAACATGGAAGCTCAATATGAGCAAGCTGTAAAAAAGATTGAGCAAGTCGATATGCAAAACGAGATTTCTGATCTGAAAGAGGCTGAGATTGTGAAAAGGCAAGAAGGTTTTTCTGAGATGTGGGATGTTTTGAGGAAAAAAGAACTGATATGGAAGCAGAAGTCAAGGAGTATATGGGTGCAGGAGGGAGATGCAAACACCCGTTTTTTCCATAGAGTTGCAAAAGGTCGAAGAGCACAAAACAACATTGCGGGATTAATGTGTGATGGAGCATGGATTGATGATCCAGATGGAGTAAAAAATGAGATAGTAAGATATTTTAGAAGATTGTTCCAAGGAGAGTCATGGAATAGACCCAAACCCAGGGACATTAAATTCCAGCAGTTATCCGAGGAGAAAAAAGATTGGATGGAAAGACCATTTTCAGTTGAAGAAATTGAGGAAGGCTTAAGAAGCTGTGAAGGTTCAAAGGCACCAGGACCTGATGGTTACAACTTCAACTTCCTTAAATATGCGTGGCACTGTATAAAGGAGGACTTCATCAACTTTTTTTCAGAATTCCATCGTAATGGTAAATTGGTGAGGGGCCTTAATTCTTCTTTTATAGCCATGATCCCCAAAAAGTTGAATGCTGTAGAACTTAAGGATTTTAGACCAATTAGCTTGATAGGATGTGTATATAAATTATTAGCGAAGGTGCTGGCTAATAGATTGAAGTCCGTGATATCTGAAATAGTAAGTGATACGCAATCTGCCTTTGTGGGGGGCCGT